TCCTCCTGTGTTTCCTGCCACATTTCTCATGTGCCACCTAATCTAGAGGGAATGCAGAACTTCTCGTGGTTTCTAGTAACTGCTAACTGAATTTTCTTCTATGGTGCACATATGGTATTCTTGTGTTAGTAGATTTCACTGTATACTCAGAATTTAAACATAGGTTTATGTTGCTGATATTCATATTCCTACCATTTGTCCTCTAGTAAGGTGTTATTCTTCTATAATCATTTTGTCATTTTTAATTCATTCGATAACTGGATTTCCAAAAGCCTTCACTCTGGTGGGTTTGTTTTGGTTTCAGGTCCCTCTGATTTATCAAGATCATTCTGGATACTTATCAAGGACAAATTGCCTCAGAGGATCTGCTTTACTGAGATACTCCAGTCCTCTTTCTAATCCTGTCCAAGGCAGTGGTCCCTCTTCCCGTCTGGGTCCCATTTGACAGCACATTGTTTGTGTCATTGCTCACGTGACTAATTACTATGGATTTAGGGATAGCCTTTGGTGTAGTCTGTTGGTTATTAGGAATTAGAATCTTTATCACAGTCTGTGCTACCCTATTTAACAAACCACACTCAAAGTCTATCCTTCAAGTTGTACAAAGAGCTTCTTTGTTGCACCAGGGACCAGATGCCTTTGCAGGGTGTCACCCAGCTATGGAGGCTAAAGGGAAAGGTGTGATGCAGGAGAGGCAGGAGGGTGAGCTCCAGTCAACAATGATCTTGTTGAATTTCTACCGCAGTGAGGGAAGGAGATTAAGAAGGAGTTCAACATGGGACCCAAGGGATAAATCGCTTAATCTCAGGATACAGAGAAGCAGTAAATGTAGGGAAGTAACTAACTTCTTTCAATAACGTGCAAAATGTTTCCAGTACTCTCTACCAAAGTAGACTCATACTAACGTTAGAAATAACGGCAATACTAATCACCTTAATCCATCCATAACTTATCAACTTAAGTTTTAACTTTAATAAACAGGCCCTCATCAAGTAATCTTATCAGAAATCTGTTTTTATTTTAATTTTATTTCAGTTTTTATTTCATCTTGAAAATAAAAAATTTCAAACTTACAGTAAAGTGGAAAGAATAATAAAATAAACTGAAATATCCTTCACCAAAGATTCACCAAATGTTAAGCATTTTGCCACATTTTTGCTAGCCCTTGCTAGATAGGCAGATGATAGATCAATATAGAGATAGATCTATTGTTATGAGCTAAATTATACCATACATGCAAAAATACATTCACACACAATACAAATATATTATTATCTATTATTCTTTTTCCTGAGACATAGTCATTGACACTTTAACATGTTTCCTTAATAATAAAGACATACACTTTTTGAATATATATATATACATATATATATATATTTCAGAGAGAAAGGGAGAGGGACAGAGATAGAAACACCATTGATGAGAAAGAATCATTGATCAGCTGCCTCCTGCACACTCTCTATTGGGCATTAAGCCCACAACCCAGGCATGTGCCCTGACTAGGAATCAAACCATTCATAGGTCAAAACTCAACCATTGAGCCACACCAGGCAGACAACACTACAATATAACTATCAAATTATGGGAATTTAAAATGCAAAGAACACCATTATCTAACATATAGTCTTTATTCAAATTCACCAACTGTCCCAATTATGCACTTTCTGGCATCTTTTTCCTGAGTCAGTATCCAACCCAGCATCACACATTACGTTCAGTTGGTCTCTATGTCCTTTTATCAGTATTAGTTCCTCAGTCTTTCTATTTCTTTCATGCTGTTTGCTATGTTAAACATGAAATTAATATTCATTTTGCAAGACACTTTTGCTAACTTTTTGTGATGTCATTTATATGACTTTAGGTTTTAATTTAGAAAATCATTCTTCATAGTGTTAGTCTATATTCTCATACTGAAAAAAAAATTTCTGAATGGTGATATTCATCCATACTCTGAATTAAAAAAATCAAAACGTTTAGCAGTGTGAATTATTGGTTTCTCTTTATATGTCAATGTATCTTTTATTAACTTTTAATCCTGTAACAATTTAATTATACCTTTTAAATATATAAAATTTTCGAAAATACCTTTTCATTTTAAAATTCCACACTAAGACAGCAGTCTCAATAGAGAAAACAGGCAAAGAGCTATGAACAGGAAATTTATAGAAGCGATAACCCAAAAGACCATTGAACATGAAGGGATGTTCAAGTTCTCCAGTAATTAGAGACGTGCAAATTAAGACAATACTGAGCTACTACTTTGCCCCTTTGTATTGTACTGGCCAAAATTTGAAAACCATATAATGCCAAGTGTCCCTCCATAGCTGATTGGACCAAGGACAGGGACCTGACATAGGGCAGTCGAGGATCAAAGCTGCTGGTATTCTATGAGGTGTCTCATCTGGCCCAGAAAGATGAGCTGGAAAAACAATATTCATGTCTTTGGAATATGTATTTAGCAATTTCTTTTCTAAGTTAACAAGTTAGGAGGGAGAATAAAAGAGAGAGGAGATGGGCAGAACCATAGACCATCGCAAATTGGCTGTGGCCGCCAGAATCACAAGGAGAGGCCGTGGGGAGGTGAAGAAGCCATGGCGCATGGGAGTAGCAGAGCCTCTCACAGACTGATGTGTAACCATTAACAGAGAAGCCATGAGGGACGCTGTGGGAGCAAAGTGATCCACCTCAGTTCCTAGTCTTGGCAGCTTCAGTGTTTTCTATTTTTTGGGAGGGGAGGGAGGGGTAACAGGGGAAGACTGGCAGTTAGCGTTGTAAATAAAAGAAGAAGGCCTTCAAAATCCCAAAGATTCTTATACCTAGCCAAGCAATCAATCAAGTATGAGGGTACAATAAAGACATGTTCAGATATTCAAGGAAAAGAAAAGCCACCAGAAAGCACAAAATGAACTTAGGATGTTTCTTAATAACTTTTTGAACATGCCAACCTTTCATCAAAATCTCTGAAGTCATTTGAAGTTAGAATATTGAAAAATACGTGATATTGAAAAAGTGAACCAAAACACAGACTTCACATTCTCCAGTCCTCCAGCACCTGTTCAGGCAGTGTTTAAGGTTCTCATTCAAAATGTATTGAGATAATCAATGATTCCAAGCATGGAAGACAAACAAGGCTTGGGCCAGGTTGGCTTTCGGAGAGTTGACAGAGCAGCATGGAGGCCGACATGAAAGGAAAATGGCTAATAAGTCAACAGGGCATGATAAGGGCTGTAACAGACAGGTAGGTCCCAGGTACCGTGGCAGCACAGAGAGGCCGCTGCACACTCCGCCTGGGGGTGCCATTAGTGAGGTGGTCTATTTGAGCACAGTGTTGAGAGGTCAAGTAGGAGCCAGACTGGGATGGAGGTCAAAGGTCCTGGGCGGATGGGGTCTGGTTGGGAAGCTTTTAGCTAGAAGGAACATCTGCAAGGCAAGGAAGCAAGAATTAGGATGTAACTCAACATTGCTGAAACATGGGAAGTGAAGAATCTTACCTAATAATAGACAAACATGTAAATTGACCATCCCTCCGCTATGCTCACCAGCCAATCAGGAGAGTATGCAAATTAACCCAACAAAGATGACAGTTAATTTGCATACCTAGGCGCAAAGCAGCAGAGCGAAGACTGAAGGCTCCAGCTGGAGCGAAGGCCTGGGTCCCGGGTGCCAGAGGAAAACTGGTGCCGGCAGCCAGGGGAACGGAAGGCCTATTGCACAAATCTCTTCATGCAATGGGCCTCTAGTAGAATATAAGGCTGGAGTCAAGGGACAAGTTCAAGGATAACAAACTCAAAATAGCGAAAGGGAAGAGGACTTAAATGAGAATAGGCAAATAAGACAATGGGAAGTGGTGAGGAAGGGTTGGAGATGGAAGGGAAATGGGATGCTGAGACCGGCACCCTCAGGTTTCCTCTGCTGACTGAATTCGGGGAATTACTACCTAAGGCAGGAGTGCTGACACAGGGAGGGAAATGCGATACTTAACAAAAATACCCAGTCAGTGATTTCTAGCAAACGAAGCATCTATGTCAACAAATTCTAAGAGTTAACACAACTATTTCAGACAGTTGCTAGAAACAAAAATAAATGGGACGGTGTCTTGGAAATATGTCAAAGAGAATATGACTGGCGACAGGGTGTAAAAGAAAAAACTGGGGAAAGTTTAAATGGTTAACCATGTTAATCATGGGAAATTCCCTGAAGAGATAACGTTTTAAGGACAGGTGAGATGTGATCCATCTCACTGGGGAAGTATAACTATTCCTGTCTTGGAGGTTAGGTTTAAAGTAAAGGGCTTTTAATTTGGTTTGTATTTTTTAAAGTATTCTTAAATTACAATTGAGTGAAAGAATCATCTTCTGCAATAGGAATTTTTAAAATTCTATTTTAAATAGTATAGTGCAACGTGTGTTAAAATAATTAGATGGATGGAATCCATAGGTAACATCTTATTAAAATATTCTCTATCTCATTTGGTTATTATGTTGGCCACATATAACGAGTCACAGGGCTTTGTTTTCATTAAATGACTACAAGATTATCATTTAAAAACAAAACTATAACTGCTCACATTTGTCAGCCTCCTTTTGGCTCCTTCTAGGACGGAAGGTGGTACCTGTTTTGACAGTGGCCCCAGTTAGTGTCTCCACAGTGATGTGCATGTTATTAACCTGATTAGACCCGAATCCGTCTGTTGAGAAGGGCTCCCCTGTCTCAGTTCCACATGGAGCACTGGCTCCTGTAACCTAAGCTCCTCCTGAATGCTGAAAACTTGTACTATCAGTGAAACAGTCAGCAGGACAGCGGAAGCCACCCTCCTCAAGAAGATGATGAGCTTGATGAAAAGAAATTCACAAGCTGCGTCCCCCGGCTGCACATGACCAGCCATGCCTGCTGGCTCCGCTGTCTGTTGGTTGTTGCTATGACTACGCAAAGCCGGTGGAACCCAATGAGCTGCCTGCAGCAGGGCTGAGAGGACCAGCCATTTTACTTACGGGAAACAGTGTGGCACATTCTGCTGAGCGCTCCCCTGGAAGGAGCAGTTTTTTAAAAAATCTGTTCAGAGGAGAGAGGAGTGATGGGCATGTTAGGATACAATGATCAGAGCCCGGCGCGCCTGCAAGCTGCCGTTGGGACGGGCTGGTGACTGCCGCTCCTATTAGCTGATCTGAGACACTGGAATGCAGCGAGATAATGCTCATATCTGCTATCAGACGGCAGAAAAGGGTTTTGTCTCGGAAAGGCAAGCCTGCCCTGCAATCGTATCTCAGCAGCTCTCTAGCTGCTCAGCCTGAAAACTACTGACCCTGAAGGGAGGGCGTTACCGCCTGCGAGCAGGGTCCTGTGCGGCTGGGCCGTGAGCCGCGGGTCTGCAGAGCAGGTGTGTGCTCGATGGGCACTGGACTGGAACCCAGGCGGCCGCTCTCAGGTTCACCTGCTTCCTGTTAACAGATTGTTGGCTCCGAGAGCAGCTGCCTGGCCGCTGAGGTCGCGGCTGAGCAGGCGGTCCCCGCGTGTCCACTGGACTGACAGAGGTAAGCTTTTTGCTTTTCTTAAAGCATAGCTTTATCAATAACTTGGAGCAAAACTTAACCTGCAACATTTATATACATTGCTGTTGTCTGATTTGCCATGGAAGTATACACACACTCATTCACATACACACACACACACACACACACACACACACACACACTTCCACAAAATAGTGTCCGAGACACAGAATTGTTTCAGTGAGTTTAGCTTCTAGAAATCGGATGATAAAGCAAACAAACAAATGAAAACATTACTAATGTGCCTTGGGATGTGAGATAAATATTTACTATTTTAATAAACCATACTGGCTTGTCATTCTGCATAGTCTTATAACCAACAACCTTTCTCTCTCACAAACAATGGATTCTTTCATGAACTGCACTTTGACATCTATTAAAAGAATTACGTGGAAAATCAGAGGCTTGAAAATTTGAAGCATTTGTTTTTAAGCCTCAGCATTAATGAGTTTTCACTCTGAACACATCTACGTATACTACCAACTTCAGGAATTCTATTCCGAAGGCAGAACCTAAGAGCCAGTGGATGTTATACTTGCTTGCTCTGAACAGAGCCTCGGTGTGCTGTCTGGTTTGGTTGGGGGGTGGCTGTAAAGCAAATAGTGTAAGTGCTGGAAGCAGCTCACACGTCCTCTCCCAGTATCATGCACGCCGCGCTAGCCCAGAGCACAACACCCCCATTGTGCACCTCGGCTCAGAATCCAAGGAAAGAAAGGAAGTGAAATCTGCACATTGAATGCAAGCACGGCTACTGTATGTGCTGGTCAAACTTCTTTGACGGCACAGGTTCTTCTCACAAGCAGATAGGTTTCAGAGATAGAGAGTGAAACCAAGACACCACACACCTCCTGCGAAGGTCGGGCGCTAATGTTTGCGGTCGATGTTTGCTGTCAATCGCTACATGATAATAGCACAGACTTTGAACTGCAGTAGGAATTGCCCCTTAGTGCGTGTTTCTTTGATTTATGGTCTCCTAGGAACAAAGCTGTTACTGTGGATTGAAATTGGTCAGTCACATCGAAATCCTTGCTAAGGATGTGACCAAATAATGATGAATTATGTTTCAGCAGCATTTCAGCTTTACCGAAATCAATTCTATTGTTGGTCTACCAGGACTGTCAGATAATTTACATTGCTATTGAAAATGTATAAGGAAAACTGTTTTTGTTGAAAACTTTGAATCAAAACCTCTGCTAAAGATTAAGTCTACCACAAAATGTCAAATAAATAGTATATATAGTAAATCCTAGACTTACTTCTAAGAAATATTTTTATTTGCTTCCTTTTTTCCAAAATATGAGTGACATGGGAGGCACCTTTTAATTTTAAGTATAATAATACAATTTTCATTGCTACATCTGAGTACACATCACTTATTTCACAAGTATGTCAATATACCCCAAGATAAGAGAATTATAAAGTGTAGTCACCAATATTCTGCTCTCAATGTCACCAATATTCAGGATATAAAAACACAGATCTTAGTGTAGAGGATCAAATCCAAACATTTAACAATGAGAACAAATAAGAATATGCCTCTTGGTGTGTGAGAGACAGTGTATGGGATAAAATGGTGAGGTGATGGCATCCTTCTTCACTTATGTTTAACTTAAAATGAACAGACTTAGTTTTGAGTCAAATTCTATAAATAGAAGTAGCCAAAAGAATGGTTCTTTATAGCAGAATGAAAGGTAAGTAAGACTTTCTCTTCGGCTGAATTCCCTTCAGAGCTTTGCACTGCAAAAGGAGTTCTCAGACTTAACACAGTGCAAAGACCTGCAGCAAGAAAATGATTTTGTATTCGTCTTTCTCAGGGAGTTTTAGAAGAACTGGGTGAGGAAATACTTAAGACACATCTGCCTACCGTGACACACAAACTTTATACCTGTGTTATTTTTCTACATTAGTAACCTTTTAAAGTGATATGCTATGAAAGATGAGCATTTTAAGTTCACTTATGTCACAGTATATCAACATAGTTATTAACTCCACAACTTTGAGAATCAGATGCAGAGATATAATCCCTAAATTTCAAGACTTTGCACTTTGGCTTTTATCTATTTATATAGCTTTATAAATGCCACTTTCCAACTCACCTGCTAGCAATGTCGGCTACTATGTAATTTCCCAAACATACTATAGCAAACTTTTGCAAAGCTACCTACAGGCTTTTTTCCTAACGCTCCTCCCCATGCTTCGTAATCCAGTGAGACTCTCTCTCCGGACTCCTCCTCGCCTTCCCCTTCGGCCACTTCAGACTCTTCTGTCTACAGCTCTGTCTGCTGTACCATAGTGCACGTGTCTGCTCATGGCTTCCAGATTCCCTTCATCTTGTATGTGCTTCGTCCAGTGTCCAGAAATTGGCATTCAGATGTGTGCTGGTAACCTCGGCCTTCACTACCGTCTGATTGGTTACTGTAAATATAGGCTCAATCTTGAAATAGAAGCCCTATTATCTATTATACTGCCTTTTATCAGATAAAACTCAAAACATTTAAAAAACAGCAATGAGGCTTTCATTGTCCTGATATGAAAATATGACTTCAGGGTCACAATTTGAAAAAAAAAACAATGTTATATATGCTCCATAATATAGCAGAATTTTCTGAGGGAAAATTTTGCAATGTGTAAGTTTTTAACAAAACAAGTTGAGAGCTTGAGTATCTAGAAGATGCTGTTTGCTTGCTTGCTTGCTTGCTTGTTTGTTTAATTTACAGCTATTATAAAATTTGCAGGGGAAAATAAGTATACTAAGTTTTCCCTGTTAGAAAGCTGCTCTAAAATCAGACCATTAAAATGAATGTTGAATTGATGATAATGAATAGCTGATTGTAACTGAGATACTTATGGAATTGTCTTTCATAGTGAAGCCAGAAGAAAATCAAACTCATGAAATGGAAAGAGACCAAGTACTGAAATAAAGTCTACAATTGCAGAATTTATTTTCATTTTCTCACATAAACCTGAAAGGTTACTTGTCATCACTGATTCCATTATCCTTCCCTGTAGTATCTGAGTTCCTGGGAGTAACTCTCCTGATACAGACATGCTTTTAGTTACAGAGACTTCCATCCTTTATTCGATGGCATGCCTATTATATTTTTAAAATAAGCTTCAATTTCTATAGCTTTTTATAGAAAAATTTCCATAATGCTATAATAAAAAATAAGAATGGATCAGGAATTTTAAAATGTAATAAATATATAATGCCTTATCTCTAAGACAAACCATGTAGAAAACAAAAGTTGTAATTAATATTGTATGTATTCTTATACATAAAGTAGCAAAGGTTAAGAAGTTTAAATGTCCAAATACTTAGAATTAAAAAGCAAATATTTAAGGACCTCGTGGCGCAATGGTAGCGCGTCTGACTCCAAAAAGGAAATATTTAGGAAATCACTTAAATTCTTTCACATTATATTCCATCATTAACTTGTATAAAAAATAATATAAATATCAACTCTTAATTAGCATACTGTCCTTGAAATGTTTATTTTGGCTACCTTCCAGCTGATTTTAATATACAGCATGCTAATTAAATAATAACTAACATTGAAATTGGTTCTGTTCATCTTAAAGACAAGTCATATTTAATCAATTATTTTAAATTGTACGTAGTAATTAGATTTTAAACATTGTTTTATAGTATTTCTGCATTATTTTTAATATACCTTAAGTAAATTATAAAATTTAAAGGCCTAAATTACGTATAACTATTTTTGATATTCAAATGAAAAGAGTGTGCTCTCAATGCATTTTATAACATATGATTATTTTAGATAATTTTCTAAATGTTCCTTAAACTAATAATTTAGTCAAGGATATGTCCATTAATTCTAAATTATCACTGCAAAGAATTATATGAATATTTTCAAAATCTTTTTACCTACATCACTTCTCAAAAAAAGTTAAAACAAATACACTTGATTATAAGGAAACACTTCTGGAAATATTGAGTTCTAAATAGCGATGAATAAGAACTCTCAGTCCAGCTTAACCTCAGGGATGATCTGACTTGAAAAAGTGACTGAGAATCAGCAAGGTTTTATTCTGAGTTCTGGCAACACAGCTTAGCTATTAAAACTACACTACACTGCACTGTCCCTAGTCTTCAAACAGAAATGTCCTATTTACCAGCTAGGAATTGTAGCCAAAAAGAGTGATTTCCTCTTCCACATTCAGGTCAGGTACTCATAGATCCAGCATTAATTCTGCACCTTTAAAAAAAAACATTATTTGAGCAAAAAGTTCAGAAAATTTTCACTTTTCCTGAATTTAACCGAGGGTCTTCAAAGAAAATTGTCTTACTTCAAAGACACTGAAATTTAGCAATATTCTCATTATATTTCCTAATTTATTTTTATATCCATGTGATAATTTAAGGAAAATTTATCTTTAATAAAGAACATTATTTGAACATTTCAATGATAATTGAGGGTTTTTTTTTTTCATTTGAACTGTTGCCTACTTTTTAAATTTTTGATTTTTTAATTTAACCTAGATATTCAATTCTTACAACTCTCCTTTGAGATGTTTTCTCATAGTTGGTGTAAATTGCATATCATACTTCCTTCTAATGAATTGTACCCTCTGCTTTACATAGAAGACTTGGTCCAATCAATATAAAAATCATTATTTTGGGGTTCCTTTTTCTAGTAAACTTTTTCAGGAATGCTGAATGTGAAGGCAGCATAAACCTCTCAGGCTCCAAACCTTCTGGTGTCTTACTCAATTCACCATCCTTTCCAGATTGATACGGTTTTAAGGACCAGCCACAGGAATCCAAAAAACCATAGTAAAACAGGCTTCTAACCAAGAGCTGCACCACTTACAAAAAATCCCCTGAGTGTACAAGCAGGGGATGGCATGAAGAATGGCACCTCCATGCAAATGAGACATTCTAAGGGAGAACTGAGCGTGCTGGAGAAAATGAATCAGTATACACGCTTATTCTGTCCTCCTCTAAAACGTTGGAGTCCCTG